ACAGAGGGGGGGAGAGAGAGAGAGAGAGAGAGAGAGAGAGAGAGAGAGAGAGAGGGACTGTGTGGCCAGTGAGTTTATTCACTCGGGTAGGAACAGGCTGAATCTAGAACGGGACTCAGTGTAGAGCAGGCAGAGAATAAAGAATTTTAAGGGAGAGGGCAGGATTATTGCCTTGAAGACTTTGGGGGCATGGAGTGAGATAACACTTCTAAGGACAGGAGGTGGCTGTGGATGTCATCAGGCTTCCTGTAACTGTGGCAGAGCAACCCGGCCTGCCATTTCCCTCCACCTCAGCCCCTGCTTTTCCCTTGAGCTTGACCTAACTAAGCTCCTCACTGCTCAAGACTTTCCACGTGAGGAAGGGAAGATCACCCTGTGGAAGGCAGCTCCCTGATCCCCATCTTGCTGTTTTCTGGATGCCATAAGAACAAAACCACCTTAGGGCTCCATGCAGCAAGCAGCCTTGGTGCCTACGAGGGGAACAGCAGCAGAACCTGCCAGCCAGAAGCCACCTTCCATGTCACACAGCGGACTCAGGAACTGCTCTCTCACTCTGCTTTCCTAAGCTGAAAGTGAGGAAAGCTCTCTCCAGGGTCTCCACTCCAAGCCAGCACACAGGCAGGACACACGGGATACTCTCCAAACATTTATTGGGTTCACTCAAAAACTCCACACTGCAAAACTGCCTCAACACAACTTGGGGTGCCCCTGATGCAGCCACAGGACCGTGAGTGTGCCCGAGCCTGTCACTTGACAGATGGAACCAGGCTGAGGTGCAGGGGACGCTGCCAGCCCAGACACGGCCCCACATGGAAGTCCCAGCCTCCTTCTCTCTCTCTCTCCAGTCCCCAGCTGGCTGACCTCTCACAGGCTCAGGGCACAGCCTGACACCAAGGCCGGGTCTAGGATCTGCTCCACCACAGGGGACGCCTCTGCTTTGCAGATGTTCTCCAACACGTCTGGGGTCACCGGGCTCCCCCGGCAGGACGCGGGGCCTCTGGCCAGGCCTCACCTCTTTCCCTCAGGCAGAGCAGGCCAGGTGTAGGTGTGAGAAGCAGGTGACCAGAGCACCGGGCCGGACCCTTTGCAGGCCCAGTCCCCTCCTCTGCTCCACTGTGGGCTCCCCAGGGGTGAGGGGCCAAACCGGAACTTGAAGCCAGGGCATTGGAAGGAAAAGGGGGTCAGAGGAGAGGCCTAGTGGGAGACTCAGAATGGGGGGAGCGGGCAGGATGAGCACGGGGTCACCAGGGTGCCAGGTGCAGCAGCAGACACAGGCATGGGATGAGGAAGCTGGCTGAGTCCCAGCGTGTAGACCGACTCATGTGTCTCACAATCCAGTCCCTGTAGTAACGGACATCTGTATAGACTCCTGGAAGTCCTTTGCGGCCACAGCCAATGCCCCAGCTCACAACACCCATCTGTACCCATGTATTATTAAACTCGCAGGCAAGAGGGCCGCCAGAGTCTCCCTGAGGAGAAAGACACAAATAAACAACACCAATGGAATCAGTCAGAGCAGGCTGCTGCCCCCAGAGTGTGCCATCAGGCACACGGGGCGGGGGCTTCCCCACATTCCTGCCAGCATCAGTTTCTGTGACTATGATGAGCTGTTAGAATGGAACATTTTAACAAGTAAAATCTGTCTACCTATTCAAAAATCTGTCTACCAAGGAACTCAACATAAACCAAGGCAATGCACCCACTCTGGGGTGACAGGAAACGGCTCACCCAAGTGCACTACATGTGCCAAAGAAGGGGCTCAGACAGGAGTCCGTGTCACTACCCAGGGACACCCACCGCCCTCCCCGCACAGGGCATGTGCTGGGGCAGCGTGCCAGGCTAGCCCAAGGGGGCCATGGCCAGGCTGGACCTGAGAGCCCTGGCCACTTGTCCTCCTGTCCCCTCCACTTGAAGTGGGTAAGTGGAGGGCCAGGGGATGAGCCAGGCCCGACTGCCTAGGGACATGGACCTTTGAGGGGACAACTGCAGTGCACCCCAGCACGGGCCCGTGGACTGACCTGGCAGGCGTCCTTTCCTTCACTGTAAGCACAGATGGCCCCTTGCCTGACCATGTTAAAGATTGTCTGCATCTGTTTCTGAAGGCCCTTATTACATTTCTCAAGGTCAACTATGTTCACCTCAACCTCCTGAAGTTGAGTTGGTGACATAATCGGCAGCTCTATAGGGAGAGAATTGAGGGGTCAGCGTGTTTTCTAAGGAGAGTACCTGGAACCTGCTCTGGGTCTCAGTACAGGGTGTCTGCACATGGGCACCCTCTTCCCGTTGGCTCCTGGCCCCATCTCACCTGGAGGCAGTGAGCTCCAGCCTGACCTCAGTGTAGGAGGACAGTAAGCTCTAAAGCAAGACAGCAGAAATAAAGGGCAGCAGGGGACATGGAGGAGAGCAAGTCTGCCAGTCTGGGACATAACCACCAAGCACGAACGAGTAATGGTGACAGGGTGGCCTGAGTCGCAGGGCAGCATCCAATTTCCAGAGCAGGGTCACGGACTCTCAGCCATGTGGTGCCCCGTAGTTACCCAATGAAGAGGAGACCCCCAGATCCCACTGAGGGCTCTCTGGCCTCTTCTGACAAACAGGAAGTGCCCTGTCCACCAAGGCAGGCATTTGCAGGGAGGGACAGCTTCAGGTGGGTGACGCCCCAAGCTAAAACCCACCCTGCAGAGATGCCAGCACGCTGGCCCCTGAGCCCCCAGGCCTGAAAACCAAATTCACAGACAGCTGTTCAGTTGCTCCCTACGCCCTGCTAGCAAACCTGCCTCCCCTCAGCCGTGGACCACCCCAGGCCACCAGGTAGCCTCCTCCCTAGCCTGGGATCTCCACCGCCCCGCTTCCTGTCTCACCTTCTTCTCTTCTTTTGCCCCATCCAGTCACCCAGCACTCTGTACCAGCTTCTAACTGGAAGGACACGGCAGGGAGGCACACGGGCTGGATGTGGGTGGAGTAATTCACAGGGGAGGACAGCAACACCAGGGCGATGTCGTTGAAAACTGCTCCAAAGATGCTACTAAAAACTGAGTACTCTCCGTGGATAACAATGTCTCTGGCCCGGACCTCGACCGCAGTTGGGGATTCATGTCTGAGGTTTGTGTCTCCCGGCTTCACCGCTCGGGCTGGATGTGGGTGGAGTAATTCACAGGGGAGGACAGCAACACCAGGGCGATGTCGTTGAAGAGTCCTCCAATTCGGGTGAAATCTTGGTGCATAACAATGTCTCTGGCTTGGACCACAAAGGCTGTTGAGGCTGTTTGGTTCAGGTTTGTGTCTCCCAGCTTCACCGTGTAGTCCACAAAACTGCGGAGGGAGCTGAGGTCTGCACCCCTCCCCTTCCGCCCAGCCTGGCCCCGCCTTCCTCGGTCTCCCAACCTCCTCCTCTCCTGCACCCCCACCCTGTGGCTGGAGTCTCCCCTGGGAACACGTTAGAAACCCCAGATCAGGGCTCTCCCCACCTGGGGCTGAAACCCCCCCTGCACAGATGAGGAAGCGTCACCTCCGGGAAGGGGCAGGACTGGCCCCAGGTCACACTCGGGTCCAAGCCAGGTCCCCAAACACTCACTCGAATATGCAGTGGGCTGCAGTCAGCACCCACCGGCTGCTGATGAGGGAGCCCCCGCACACGTGTTCGCCCTGGACCTGCAGGCTGACCTGCCAGGGCCACTTCCGCTCCGCGGCTGGCCTTCCCCCGACAATCCTCCTCTGGCCGCAGGCTGTGGCAGGTCAGTGAAGGCTCAGGCATCAGGGGTGAAACCAAGTCCTCTCCCCTCCTCTGCCCAGGAGCCTCCGTGTCCCTAACGCCGCCCCTCTCACAGACCTAAGCACCGCCCCTGGAGATCCCGGCTCCCGTGGTTCTGATTTTACCTGAGGGTTCCTCAGAGGTGGGGCCTGTGACCTCACCTTGGGAAAGGATCTCTGAGGGGCTGGGGGCTGGTGCGGTCCCAGAGGAAGAGGGACTCTGTGGGGAAGGGGGCGTCACGCTGTCCCTGGGGTCCGCGCTGAGCCGGGGCCGGAGAAGCAGCAGCCAGAGGAGCAGGCGCAGAGAGCTGCAGGCCGGGGACTCCATGGCAGTTCGCGTCGCCCCCTGTGTGGCCCCGCGTGTCGCCCCCTCGTGGCGGCCCTGGCTCCCAGGGAGCGGGCTCTGACCAGAGGCCACAGTTCCTCCTAGGGGAGGGGCCATGGCCCCTTTGCTCTCGCATCTAATCAGCTACTTGCTGCAGAAGCCAAGATCTGTAAATACCCAGGGTGTCCTCTGGGGCCACAGTCAATGCCCCAGCTCACAATGCCCATCTGCACCCACGTTTTGTTAAATTGACAGACCATGGGCCTCCCTGGAGTCTCTCTGCACAAAAGAAACACAGAGTAGCAAGATGTTACCACCAAGCACAGGACAGAGAAACCCAGGGCCTCCCTGAGCCCACTCCTCCACCCAGGCCCTCCTCACGCCCAGCCCTGCTGGGGCCTCAATGGCATTTCTGAGATGAAAGAAACAAGCTCTTCACCCTGGGAACTCTGAGCCACCGTCCATGCTGTTCCCTCTCCTGTTCTGATCTTCACTTTCCCAGAAAACTACTCATCCACTAAGACCTGGCCCCCAGGTCTCTCTTCCAGAGCCCGGCGTGATGCAGAGGGAAGAGTGTGTGCCCAGGAGCCACCGAGGGGCCCACAAGGAGTCTGTGACTGAGTGACTCAGGGGCCACCTCCCACATCCCACGGGTAGGAGGAGGGCATCCGGGCCATGTGAACAGAGATGATAAGGGTCGGTGCCCACGTGGGCATGGTGTGTGTGGCACAGGAAGACCCAGCCCCCAGGACATGGCCTGGCAGTGCCCACCCACTCTCAACACCCTGCCGCTGTCCCAGACACTGAGGGTGGCCGCCCTTGGAAACACAGGCCAGGCCAGCACAGGGAGTGTCGGGGGGCCCAGGTATCTCCTCAGCTCCAGGAAGGGGAGGCCCAGGAGGCAGCAAAGAACTCAGGCCTGAGCCTTGGAGAGGTCGGCGAACTGACCTGACAAGCATCCTCTCCTTGGTCCTGTCAGCTGCAAACCGTCTCTTGCAGGACCAGCTTCCCAGTAGCTCACACAGCCTCAGAAGCTTCTCATTGCACTCCTGGGAATAGATGTTGTGTTGGTCCACCTCCTGCACGGCCTGGGCCCGGAGCCCTCTGCCGGAGAAGAGGGCCAGCGGTGTGCACCTCTGCTCCAGCAGCCACAACCCCCAAGAACCTAGCACCCCTCTAAAGCAGGCTGGGCAGTCAGTGCTGTCCTCATTTGACCCAGGAGGAAACCACAGCCCAAAGCCAAGAGGGAGAGGGCAGGGTGAAAGGCAAGACCAAGACAGGAGCAGGAAGAATAGTTCAGAAGAGGGAGAGGCAAGGCTGTATCAGCCTGAGAAACAACAACCAGCCATGTGCCATTCTGTGAATCTGTAATAATCATGACAAGATTTCCTGGGCATCAGTAAAGCATCTTTATTTTCTAGAACAGGACCAAAGGCTCTTGGACAATGCTGTTTTAGAGCTAAATTGTCCCCAAAGTCTCCTGTGTGTGAGAGGTGAATGGATCTTACGGTACTCTGTCAGTGGGTCCATCCGTTGATCAGTTCATGGCTGAATCTGCTAGTAGGAAGTGAGCCTGCTTGAAAGTGGGTCACTTACGGCCGGGAATTAAGCTCACAGGTTCCGCTGTCTGCCTTGAAAGCACAAGATCCCAGGTTTGATCCCTGGTACCACCCCCCAGAAAAAGCAAAGTGGGTCACTTGGCACGTGACCTGCAAGGGTGTACCCTCATCTCTGGCTCCTCCCTTCTCGCTTTGCTTTCCAGCTGCCTTGGTATGATCCGCCGCCCTCCTCCATGCCCTCCCTTTCTGCTGTTTCTGCCTTGGAGCTAGTTTACCATGGACTGAACTCCCTGGAAACTGTGAGCCACATAACCCTGTCTAATTAAGTTGTGGGAATTAGATATTGTGTCTGAACAATTGGAAATTGACTAATACAGACAGGCAGTCCTGGAAAGGGACCAGATCCATGGAAGGAAGTTGAATAACCTCCCAGCAGAGGTCTTCTGACTCTGTCCACATCTCCGGGATCAGTGAGCTATGACCCACCATAGCACGTACTTCTGGGAAGTTCTGACTGGCACAGTTCACCTCCCCCTGAGGAGAAATCCACCTAGAGAGAACCCTGTAGTAACTGGCTTTCCCCCAAGAACCTAAAAATACCCCAAACTGTTTGTACCCAAGTTGCAAAATCCCCAAGAAGACCACCAAGGAGTCGAATTATGTAATTACATGAGGAGTTTATTGCAAGCTGGAGCCTGGACCCTTGTACTTTACTGAACCAGTGGAACAGAAACGAGTGTCCTGACTCACTTTCAAGACATGCTTGTATAGGGCTGAGGATCAATACTATTTTTAACTTTTCATTACTAAGGATTATTATTGGGACACTTGGGGTACCCATGAGGGGAATTATCTCATACCCCTGAGGGGATACCCATGAGGAGCTCAGCGGGGGCACTCTATTTCTGTTCTTAAGGAACGCTTTATATATTTTGCATGTAAGCATATAATATCTCTAACTAAGCAACTATCGGGGATCTCTTATTTATATCTGGAAGTGGCCTCTGCCATGTGCTTTGGGTTGCACACTGTCACCAGCTTGGAGATTGTTTTGGCTCCAGTCTGCCAAAAACAGCCATGAGGACAGCCAGTGCTTCCCTCTGGGCTGCCTAGCAGCAGACAGACTCGTGTAGGAGCATCTGGTAGGGAGGTGGTCAAGCTTTCAGTAGCCGATGGAGTCACTGTGATCGTGAAAGATACCAAAGGTGCCACAGCCCCGACTGTTCTCATAAGGACATGATTTTTCCTTACATCAAAAAAGACCTTAACGCATCTGGACACACATCAGAGGAAGGGTCCCAGCCTTCAGGGAGGCTGCGGGAGACGCCCACCTGGACAGCACTGTGCCGATTCCTGCAGCACCTGGGAAAGGAGTAGGACGACCCCGGCCTGGACAGAGAATGAGGACTGGCAGATCCCAGGACACGGCCCAAGGACATAGCAGGGACGCTTGTGCATGGAAATGGCTTTCACAGCTGGGCCTGTGGAACAGAGTTCTTTGCAGATACATAGTTCCAGCAGTCAGAAGGGAGAGAGGTGCTGAAACGAAAGCATGCGTCTGTCTTCAGGGAGAGTGGGGGCCTAGAAACTGTTATTTGAGCTTTCTACAGGGGAGACAATCTTGAGCTAACTGGCACTTCAGGGTCTACAGGTGAGGACAAAACTCCCCACGGCCCCTCTCCTCACAACAAACTACGCCTGCCTTCCTCCAGGGGGAGGAAGTTTGCTAAGGAAGGCCAGGCCGCTTTCAGGCCATCCTGTTAGCCTGTGAGTCTATCCTAATGCTAATCAGAATGTGTACGTGCACACCTACTTACGTCAGTACAGGTGTGTCTGCCCCAACGCTCAAATTAACTTCCGCAGGCACATAAGTGGAAAAAGCCCTCATTCAGTTCAGTAAAAGGAAACTTTTTAAAAGGTGTTTTCTCTACTGTAATTGTCTGAGACCATAACTCATAACACCCTTACTGAGGGTGAAATGCGGTTGTTAGAATAAATTGCTAAAAGACAGCTCAAATGTGTTGTGTTCGTCAAGCTGTACACCAAAATGGTTTGAGGAAACTTTTCAGAAGCTTTGTTATTTTAAAGACTGGCAGAACTTCAGAGACATTCCTAATAACAGTTCATTGCTTCCTGTCTAATTGTGCGTTAGATTAAAAACAGCTGTATTTCATATATACCTTCTCGCATATCGTACCACTCAGTGCTTACTAAAGAAATGAATCTGATGCGAGATATACAAATATAGCGGCACTTAATTTGTAGCTGGCTGGACAAATGGGCAGGGCCTGTCGCGGGCAAGATCTCAGGGTGGCCAGATGATTCTCAGAACCCCGTATGTAGACCTTTTGCGGACTCCCATGAGATGTGCACAGCATGAAAGGGACCAGATGCCACAAGGAGCCCACTCTGAATCTTCTGGATGCAGATGTGCACTTTTATGTTTGCTATTTTCCTTTCTTTTATTCAGCTCAAATCATCTCTTCAGAGCTAATTCTTCCCTTACCTCTTCACCCCTCATTTTTCAAAGAAATTTTTGGCACTGTTTTTGGCTTGTCTCATTCAATTCTTTATTCAAGGCAAAAGGGGACCTGGAATACTTTTAATTGACTAGCCACTTTTTTTAAATTGAGTTTATTGGTACATTTTAGGGATACAGTACAGTTATGTTCATCATTGGGATCTTGTACCTTTACATGACAGGTCTTGGTTCTCATTTTTTCCCCTTGTCCCTGCCCTCCCTTCACCCCATCCTCCCCTCCCCTTACAAGCCACTTTTAAAGGAGCTACCCAACAACACTACAATTTTGGAAAACATGGCCAAATCTGTGTTTCTGTGGGAAAGATGGCCACAGTCATGTTTGTTACCTGATGCAGAGTTTGCAAACAAAAACACAGTTTTGCCAAACAGTTTTGTTTGCAAACCTAATTGTTTGCAAATACAAGCGTTCATGAACCAAGCTACCACTGTATGTATGAATTTACAAGACTGGCTCACGATGGCCGCTCACAGTCGGGTGTGGAAAAGAACAAAAGGTCTGCCTGTGTGCTGAGATCTGAAGGACCCAGCCAAAGGCCTGGAGCTCACTGTAGTGTCCCTGTGTGAATCGTATCAGGAGGCTGAAGGGTCCGCGCTGGAAGCCAGGAGACGATATCCAGACTGGCGTGATGGTCAACAGAGAGCTGCCATGTCCTTCTAATGTAACCTCCTCGGAGGAAGCTCTGACAGAATCACTGAAACAGAGAGGACCAGCCACATCCGACGAGGGGCACTGCATCTTCTGGGAAGGGAAGATCCACACGACAGGGTGAAGGTGCCCTAAATCTGTCCAGATGGGCTCCACTTCAATGCTCAGAGTTTCACTCTTTCCCAACCCATTCTCTAACTTTTAAGTAACAATTATGAAGCTGTTAATTCCATTTATGTTGAAATTCAACCATCCAAAAGATCAGACACTACATCTTGCTTTCAACTACATCAAAATCCTTGTACAGCATCCTTATTTTCAACGACATCAGCTACATCCTTGGCTTCAAGGAGTGCGAAACCTTTGCTGAGAAATCAGAGAAGCTGTTAATCCAAGAAACTAAA